GTCACGGTGATGTCTAGGTCATAAGGACTAATGGTGTACAACTATACCATAGATATCTCTACTCGATTATTGGGAACCACTTAGAGATTTCTAGGGTGAGGGAGTTCAGTGAACTCGTCAACTTACGAGCACCCACTTATGCATGCCGATATCACAATACCGTTTACTGATGAGATGCAGTACACATACACTAAGTGCTAGTCTTAATGGGAAAGGCCGATATCCTCATTAGTGGCGTAACCCTTCGACTAGGAACACGTTTAACAGTTATAATACTTAAGTAAATATCTCACGATCCTAACGATCAATTACTAGTACTTGTAATAACTGTAAGGACTATATCTATGCTTGTGACAAAGGGACAAAGATATAGAATGCCAAGGTGTTTTATCATTAATACGATTAAAGGTTCGTTTATTACAATAATAAATACGAAAGACCTTTGACCTTAACACCGTTTGATCTAAGTTTGAAAATCACAAAAAAAAACTTCTCCATGTTTAAATAATTATTAATAAAATAAAAATTGCGGCTGGCGTCGTGTACTATGTTTTCTCGATGCCTTGAATTTTTATTATTTTATTTTTTGTTGTTTTTTATTTTTTATTTTTTTAATAACTATTTAAACTGGAGGGGTGACATTTTAGTAATTTTCATACTTAAATCAAACGGTGTTAAGGTCAAAGGTCTGAAAACTAACGGCGAGGGCCACATTGAGACAATTTTTCAAGTAAGGGGGCAAATCGATGCAATTGAGAGTAGAAGGGGATAAAGTGATATCGAGCCAAAGTACAAGGGGGCAAGTCGATCAATTGAGAGTAGAAGGGGGTAAAGTGATATCGAACCAAAGTACATTAAGGGGGCAAATCGATGCAATTGAGAGTACAAGGGGGTAAAGTGATATCCAACCAAAATACAAGGGGGTAAAGTGGAATTTACCCTTTTTGAAAACATGAATTAAGTTAGAAAGTGAAATTTATGTTTGCATCGCACCTCTAATTTGGTTTGGTTCAAGGAACACCAGCATACTAATCCACAAAAATTATGTCCAAAACTAAGTTTATTTACAAATTTTAAAACAAAACAAAAATACTTTATATTCTACATTTAGATGACATGCTTCTAAAAAAGTCGATATTCAGTTGTCGATTTCAATAAGATTTTGACATTCAAGTGTCGAATTATTTATATTGGTTGAACATATGGTCTATGTCGATTTTGATTTACAAATTCGATAATCAAGTGTCGGGGGTTCAACTATTTATATTGTCGAATTTAGACTTCAACACACGGTTGTCGAGAGTCTTCTTTAAATTCAGATGTTGCAGAGCAATTTTTCAACAATTATCAACATGAATTTGCGAGTAAGATCAAGGGGTAAGTATAGATAAATCCCCAAATACAAACTTAAAGTGCGGATCAGTCCCTACAGACGTTTTATAGGCGGATCAGTCCCTACTGCAGAGTTTCACATGCAGTTCAGTCCCTATGTTTGCATTATTATATTATTTTTTTCTCTCTATGTCTCTCTCTTCATTTAATTTTTCTCTCTCTTCCTTTTTTCTTTCTTTTCTCTTTCCTCTTTCCTCTTTTTCTCTTTCTCTTTTCTCTTTTCTTTCCTTGCCCCGTTCCAATTCAAAACTCAATTTTCAGTTATTTTTCTTTAAACAACAAATGAAAAGGCGCAAGAAAAAACTCGTGAAGAAAACAAAATGAAAAGAGGAAAGAGATCCATTCTCGAAGAATTGTTAAGGGGAAGAAACAAGATTTGATTTTTTTTTTCTAGTCACATATTTAAAAGATGTTTGATAGTTTGATATAGGTTCTGAGAAAGACGCTTCTCGTATTATTTTTTGAAACATTTTGTGTTTTATGTGACTGCAGTAGTATATGTCGTATTAAATAATAGTATTGCTAGTGTGGTTGGATGGTGTTGAAATAAGAGATGAAAAGTACTAGTATTGCTAGTCATGTAGTAGAATAAATGCGTCAACATAGTACGCTTACGTCTAGAATCAAGTATATTTGGTTCAGTGGTGAAGTACGTGTTGTCTAAGTGAGTATCATGTCGGCATTTTGAGGCATTTTGAACTCTAAACGCAACACCATTGTTCATCAATCTTAAAATATATTTTATGTCCCTCCCACACTCACTAATCACTAAATTTATTATGAGATTGGTATAATTCAATTCATTATAATTATGGTACAATTTATTCTACATAGAAATGAATGCATTACACCAGCGATGCTATTGTTGTCCATTCATAGAGTACGCTTCTTTCAATGGAAAAGTAGATGTTCTCCATTTATATGGCACACTTGCTTTATAGATATTATTTTGGAACCAATGCAACAATATAAACTCATTTTCTGAGGCATTCCTTCATTTTATGACTAATTACATAAAATGAGATAACGTGGGAATCCATCAACATCAATTATGGTAACATTTGAGAAAAATATTAGTCATACATACAAGTCTTGTACTATATGTGAATATCATATAGGAAATCAAATACATTTGTGGACTCCAAACGTAACACCAATGTTCACCAAACTTAAAATACTCATCTAAAACATAGTTTATGCATCTCCCATACTAATTCATCATTATAGTGTCAAGGAAATTGGTTCAACTCAATTTATCACAAAATATAGTATGTTTTGTTCCACAAATTATAAGTACAATGTATAAACTGGTAAAGTTAGAGTTATTCATGCATATAGTATTGTGAGTTTATTCATAAAGTATATGTTGTCCATTCATATTGTACTGTTATATTCTTTATATTATTGTGGGGCCAATGCATCCATATAATATCATTTTAAGACGCATTTCTTCATTTTAAGACTATTAACATGAAATGAGATGATGTAAGAGTTGATCAACATAGATTATGAGAACGTTTGAGGGTAATTTTAGCTCTACGCATGAGCCTTATACACTTATATGAGTATCATGTAATAAATTCAACACATTTATGGTATCTTGTACACTTATATGAGTATCATGTATGAAATTCAACATATTTATGGCATTTTGTACTCCAAACGCAACAATAATGCTCACCAACCTTAACATAAACATCTAAAACATAATTTATGCATCTCCTATACTAATTGATCATTAAAATGTCATGAAAATCCGTATAACTCAATTCATCACAAACTATAGTCCGATGTGTGAAACATGTAAGTACAGTGAATACACATGTGAAGTACATGTCTAGAATTGACACGGTATCTTCAAATAAACTAGAAAATATGTGTTGTTCATTAGTATGGTACGCTTATATTATTTATATTAATTTGTGGCCAAGTCAACCATATAAACTCAACTCATAACACAATATAGTACCATGACTTCAACATGTAAGTACAAATTCATCAAAATATATGTTACAATGTTTTTAATATAAAGTACGAGTAGAGCTGACCAATAGTATTGTTAGCTATATAACAAAGGACATATTCCTGCAACTACATACACATAATTACAATTATATCAAATATAACCCACTATAAAGTTCCACTACTAGTACTTCCAATACTCTCTTTCAACACCATCCAAATGCACTAGGAATACCACTATTGCATATGGCAAATACTACAACATCACCAAGAATAATACAATAAACCTTTTTCCCATTTCCTATATCAAAGTCATCAAACATCATACATCAAATCCTTGCTAGGACTAAAAATGCTTTGGGAACATGCTAATATCGCCGAACAATAATACCCAAGAGAAGAGTGTTCAAAATCGACAATAAATAAATGATCTTTACAAACTCTAACAACAAAATAAGAGATGTTGGAATCGAGTTAATGATTAGGGGAAACAAGTCAAATCTTATTTCTTCTCCTTCACCATTCTTCGAAAATGGGTCTCTTTCCTCTTTTCTTTTTGTTTTTTTCTTCTTCTACTACCTTGGTTCTTCCTTTTCTTTGTTCTTGTTGCTTCATTTGTATTAATTTAGGAGTATGTTTTCTTGCGCATTTTCGTGTTCATTTTCGTTTGTTGTTTGAAGAAAAATAACATAAATTGAATTGGAACGGGCAAGAAAAGAAGAGAGAGAAGAGACATAGAAAAAGACGAAAGAGGAAAGAGAGAAGAAAGAGAAAAGTAAGAGAGAGAAAATGAAAAAGTATGTAATTTCAGATTAAAGTAAAGGACATTTTAGAATTTTCACTTGCCTCTAGGGACTAAACCGCATGTGAAACTTTGCATTAGGGACTGATACGCCTATAAAACGTCTCTAGGGACTGATCCGCACTTTAAGTTTGTATTTGGGGATTTATATGTACTTACCCCTAAGATCAATGTGTTTGTTCAAGAAAAAAATTTGAAATGAAGAGTATCAAAGGCTAACAACATTCATTTTCAATTCAACACTCTCGAAATTTTGATTTCTTTTTCAAATGTAGATCGGACCGAAATCAACATTTTGAATTTTTTTCCTAAAGTGAAAAACTAATTCCAATTCCTTTATAGAAAAAAAAAAACTCGAAATGAAAATTTTGTTCCAAAATAGCAAATTTTCGGATTGAAACCCGTGAAATTCGAAACTTCCAAATGCTTAGTGACCTGTAAAATAAAATAGGTAATAATAGTGATAATATAAGTTTAAAGTTAGGAAAATAATCGAGATTTTTCATAAATATTTTTGAAAATAAAATAGGATCGAAATCAGAATCTAATATGTGTTCCAATTCTATTAAAAAAAATCGAAAACCAAAACTTTCATACTTCGGATTGAAAAATATTGTTCCAAAGTTTGAAATTTTCCGACCAAAATCAGCAAAATTCGAAAATTCGTTCCAATTTCCAGTATAGGCTAAGATAACCCAAACCAAACACGTCCTTACAAATTTTGTTTCGTCAGCAAATCATTGGCGGGAATGTGGATGTGCCTGATTTCATTTGTTTTTCCAAAAGACCTAATCTTTCATTTCCCGCCTCCTCACCCCCTCATCACCCACCCACCTGCCTCTCTCTCTCTCTCTCTCTCTCACACACACACACAGAACAAACCTGCTAATTTCCATTTCCAAGTTACAATCGGAAGAATTCTTTCTCTACACTGTATGTCTTTGATTGGATACTATCAGATCTGAGCGGTTAGTTATGGATACACCGTCGGCAAACTCGGAGCTGGATCTCCAACTCAACACGAGTCAACTCAACGCCAACGCCGCCGCATGGCATGTTCTGGGTCTATTGCTCAGCCACGGAGGCCCGGCCCGGCCCTCCGATCTGGCGTCGAGTTTCACGCTTCTTTATCCTAATCCGGAGTTCATACGCTTCCTATGCTCGATCCCTAACTCTCCTCTTCGATTAGCGGATAATCAGTTTGTCACGTTCTCGCCAATCGGACTCGCTGCAATCGCTCATTTTTTTGCCAATTCCGATGTGATTACTAGATGTTTGGATTTACCAGATTATGTGCCGCGATTGTTGGCAACAAATGCTAGGTCGAGTAACATAGTTAGGACTTACTGTAGGAAAAGAAAGAGACTGATGCCGGAGATTGAGGATTTGCCGCAATTGAAAAAGAAAAGTTATTTCCAGGTTTCTGAAGGTAAGGTTTCGTGGTTTTTTTAACTTTATTTTTCTCGTTTTGGTTAATTGTTTTGAATGATGTGACTCTTTTTATGTGTGGCAGGGGAGATGAATCTAAATCAGGCAGTGATGAAGATGCCTCCCGGGTTTCAGCGTCTATCTTCTCAAGTAATTTCAATTCTCTTACTTTTTTTAAATCCATGAAAATTTGTATACTTTAGTATGGGATACTGCTTACTTGAATTCGTCACTGGACAATAGGAAAGTTAAGCAAAACGGCTGCTTCACTGATGTATATATCCTTTCTCGATAAAAATGTTGTATAATTTTGTAAGACTTATTTATCTTAAGGTGGTGTTGGTAAGTGAAATAATCTTTTAGGATAATGCACTCGCAACTTTGTAACTTTGATTTGCCAGCATTGTTTTAACTGAGAAGTTACTAGCTTAGGTTCCAAATACTCTTTATAAATCAAGGTAGGGTGATTTGCATAATCTTTCAGATATCAAACACTGTTACATGAACTTTATATTAGCTGGTGATGTGAAAGAACGGATGGTTAATCAATTCTTTTGTGAGCTGTCATGTACTTTCTTGTCCAATTCAAACGAGAATGAGCTTAGAAGTTTGAGTAAAATAGGGATTTGTTTAAGTTCTAGGTTTGTCTCAGAATGATAAAACCACTCGAGCAATATTTTCTACAGTAACCATTTTTATAAGTTCTATAAATTTATGAAAACATGTTCTGTATCTCCATGGACTTCTAGTGAATAATCATTTCCTGAAAGTGAAAATTAGAGAGGTCCGATAATAGCTGGAATCAACGGAGTTTTAGTTGCAATAGTCATAAACTGTTGAGGACAATAACAAATATTTCCTCTTTGTAATACACTCTGTCGGTGTATTGCTGCATTCCTGAGGCACAACAGCAATTTGCATGTATTCTTTTATGCGCATCACATGTGCACAGCTCCTTCTCTTTGTTTTTCTCTCACTTCGCAAGGATGTTGATGTCTGTTCGTAAAATATTTGCTCTTTATTCAAGTACCGTTTGAAACAATGTATCACATGTGTTCTTGGAATTCTCAGTCGTTAGAGTTTGACATTCAGTGTCGATTTGGTTTCATATTCCCATTTTCTAACCATAATTGTGTACTGAAATTATGAAATTAAAAAGTCCAAAATATTGCAGGGTTCTGGGACACTATCAAGGTTCTCAATGCTCTCGGAATATGACAGTTGCGTACTAGAGAAAAATATGTTCAGGCCTTCCATGTTAACAAAGTTCAGTTCTGGGCAATTTGGCTCTGAAATTGAGAAACATGAATATGATGACAAGGAATTTAAATCATCAAACTTGGAAGAGTGTGGTTACTATCTTTCTGGAGGTAGATTTCCACGCATACACGTAACAATGGCAGAAGAAAGAATGAATTCTGCCCCTCTTTTAGAGCTCTCACTTCCAAAGCAAACAATGGGCAATTCAGAAGGAAGTAAATTTGGCGACATTGGTATTGTAAATCCTACTAATTCTATGAATATATGTACCTCGCCTAAGCTAGAAGTAGATGAACAGATGTTAGTTTCACCGGAAGAAAATGATGCTGTTACTCAAGGGTGCGAGTCATTAACTGAAGATGTGAATGGAAAAAGAAAGGAGGTTTTATTACATGAGTCTGGTAGATGCAGAGGCCGTAAGGAAAATCAGCCAATGGATTCTACCTATAAAGATAGCTCTGAGAAATCTCGGTGTGAAACCAATAAAGAGGTGGTGTTTATGATCAAACCAAGAATAGAAGTTCATCTACAGGGCCAGGGAGACATGCTGAATGACCTAACGAAACACTCTTCTCTACGCAAATCTAATCATAATGACGAAACAAATAGTAAGAGAAAATCTATCAGCCCCACCACAGAGAACTGCAAATGCCGTCCTGATAAAGGGCCAGAGCAATTTAAAAGAGATAAGAAGCAAACTTCAGAAAAGCAAAAAATAAAGTGCAATTGTGACCGGAACATGAATACTAAAGAAAAGAAGGAAATGTCCACGGAGAATAGGAAAAAGGATTCCTCCATAATTAATGTAAGCTCTAATCTATTATTATTATAGATATTATTCTTTCAGCAAATATATACTTCAAAACTAAACATGGCATGTTTGTTTTGTAGAATGACGTTGAAAAAAAACCCTTTCCCAACTTCGAGCAGTTTATTGTAGAAGAAGAGGAGGGTTCAGGTATCATGTTGACTGATAGAGATTCATTTGGTCTTATAAAGTTGTTTTTGATGTGTCGCTGATCTGAGTTGGTAATCAACTTATGCAGGAGGTTATGGTACTGTTTACAGAGCAAGAAGAAAAACTGATGGGGTCACATTTGCCATCAAAAGTAGGGAACTTGCTCTGTTATTAATGCCTTCTCTTTTAACTTTTGATACCCAATGATATAGCATCTTTAGTCAAATCATATGCCGTGTGTCTCATTGTCTGTAATATCTATAAGTTGCTGCTAATCCTACTTGCTGCAGTTACTGGACTATTAGATAATTTCTCTGCTGATTTATCATTTACATTTAAAAAAAATGAATATTTATGCATCCTGTTGAAGTTACACATTTTTTCTTTGACTTTATATTCTAGAAAAAATAAATTAAACGAAATGTATATGCTGTACCTTTCTACATAAACCTAGATATAATGCTTGACTACTTCTGCTCTCCTTGTTCACGATTTTCCAGGTCCTCATGTCAATGCCAACAGAAATTATGTGCACAATGAGATGAAAATGCTGGAGAGATTGGGGTAAATAATATCTATAGAAGATTTTAATTCTTCACATTGTTGTCAGTTCTTATGATTTCTCTTTTGGTCAACATCACCTTGCTAAAATTTGTTTGTTATAATCTAATGAACAGGGGCAAAAACTTTGTGATAAAATATGAAGGTTCATTTACGAGCGAGAGTGGCGATTGTTTTGTTTTGGAGCATGTTGAGCATGATAGACCTGAGGTAGTCACAATCATTTTCATCTTAACCTTTTGGTCATAATAGCTAATATTCATCAAACAACAGTGTTTCATAAACTCCCGCCTTTTAACTTTTTTTTTGAGCCTGCAGATTTTGAAGAAAGAAATAAACATTATGGACCTACAGTGGTATGGTTATTGTCTGTTCAAAGCCCTTGCTGGTCTACATAAGCAGGTGAGAATATGTGCACAGATGTATGAATTTTCCTTCTAAAAAATACTTTCAGGAAAAGAAAAAGTAATTTGATCCATCTTATGCTTGCAGGGCATTGTTCATAGAGATATTAAACCTGGCAACTTCCTTTACTCCCGAAAGGTCAATAAGGGTTACCTGATTGATTTCAATCTTGCTTTGGTGAGTAATAGTTCTAGCGTCATCTTTCCTTTTGATTTAAATGTGCTTAAACTGAGTATATTTTCCTGTTTCATTTTTATTTTTATTTTTCCAACAGGATATGCGAAAAAAATTTGGGATGACCGGTGAGTGTTTGTTCTTGTACAATAAACTCGTTTTATCTTGTCATGCATTTGTTGTATTTGCAATTTTGCTCAAATACTTTTTAAAGATCAAGATTATTAATGGAGTCTCCTTATACCATCTACAGATAATAACAAATCTAATTTGAGAAGTCCCGTTCCTATTGACGGGGCCAAATCTGTACTACCTATGAAAAGTAGTAAGAAGTTAGTGAATGGAAGATCTCAAGAAGCAGTGAATAAGAATGCAGGGAAAGTGTCGAAATCTCTTTTACCACCTGGTAACTTGAAAAGGAAGGTTGACAAAGCAAAAGGTTTGACTGATAATAATAGCAAAAGGAATATCATAAGAAGTCAGGGTGGTGATGGGTCTGGGATAACTTGTGCAAAGGATGGAACAAGCAATAGAACGCCATCTGCAGAAAGGTTGAGAGAACCGTTACCAAGCCAAGGTAGGAAAGAGTTGCTGAGTTTAGCGCAGGAAGCCATGCAGGGCGGCGGGTATCATAATGCATCTCTAAATTCTCCCACATCGAAAAGGAAAAGAGTAGCTGCACCTCCTGCAGATGTAGATACCAAATTTTTATATCCAACTCCAATGCCACTGCACGCCAATGGAATTGCTATTCGTGGTGCTGGATTACCGAAAAGCAAAGGTTATCACTCTTTATGGCACTTTTACTTTTACTTTTTTGTTTTTTGTTTTTTTGGAGCTTGTATAGTGGGATACCTTAAATTTCTAAGTCGTGTCGTGTGTAGGTGATGGGAAGCACAAGAAAGAAAGTCCCTGCGCGGGAACTAAAGGTTTTAAGGCTCCAGAGGTAAGAAGCACGAATCCTTCCTTTTTTTCATTAAAATAAGGCTTGCACATGTTTGGGTCTGCATACTTTGGTTTCTTTATATTTTTGTTTCTCATAATGTCTAGGCAGATGGTTAAACTTCATGTTGGTTAGTCCTGCATCACACCCAACTGTGATCCTTTTGAACTTCAGCACTATTTTATTGAGTTTCAAAAGTCAATTAAATGAATGTTAGACTAAGAAACAAAGTTGTGAGTACCATCTCAAGTGAATTTTGTCCGCTTTGGTTGAATTTCTATGCGTTTAAGCTCTAGCTTCCACTAACTGAGCTATACAAGTTAATACGACCCCTTAAAGTGAAAATCTTCAAGCATCTGTCATCTTCTAAAAGACACTGAATTTTGGCTAATGGAAGCATCGGAACTTTCATTTTATGGCTAGCATTCCTAGAAACTTTTCCTCATGAATGACCTAAAGGCAGTCTCTTATTGGTACTAGTTTTCACTGTTTACATTATTGTAACTGCCATGCCTACGGAGATAAACCTGCTCGTTGAATTATGCTGGAAATTATTGTGTGATTGACCAGACTAAGAAGTGAACATTAACACTGCCAGTCTGTTGTTGGCAGCATACACTCAGGATCTTATGTTAATTTTTTTGCCAAACATCTATAAGAGCATTTTTAATTTGTTTTCGTTCCTATTCACTCAACCAAATGCAATATAAAAGCGTACCCTGATAACATTTCACCGAATAGGCGAACATCATAAATACGTGGTCCTAAACTTCCTTTGCTGCAGGTATTATTTAGATCTATGTACCAAGGCCCTAAGGCTGACATCTGGTCTGCTGGAGTAACCTTACTGTACCTGATTATAGGACGATCACCTTTCTCTGGCGACACTGACCAGTGAGAAAACTAGACCCTTTCAACTTAAAAACGTCATCTCTCTCTCTCTCTCTCTCTCTCTCTCTCTCTCTCTCTCTCTCTCTCTCTCTCTCTCTCTCTCTCTCTCTCTCTCTCTCTCTCTCTCTCTCTCTCTCTCTCTCTCTCTCTCTCTCTCTCTCTCTCTCTCTCTCTCTCTCTCTCTCTCTCTCTCTCTCTCTCTCCTTCCTTCTGGAAAATGTACTTATAGTAGTTGCATGCATGAACAGGAACATAAAAGAGATAGCTAAGTTGAGGGGCAGTGAAGATCTATGGGAAGTGGCCAAGCTACACGACCATGAATCATTATTCCCAACGGTACGAAACAATACAAAAAAAATTGAAATTCCATAGTCTTCTGATATTGGCTTCGACTTGCTCTCAATAATTGATGTAAACATGTTGAAAAACAGGAGCTACTCGATGTGAAATACTTGTCACCCGTAAAACTTGGGGATTGGTGTGCAAGAAATACACGAAGACCAGATTTCTTGGATACGGCACCAAGATCACTATTAGATCTTGTGGATAAGTGTTTAATGGTGAATCCACGACACAGGATTACCGCAGAGGAAGCTCTTAGGCACGATTTTTTCAAACCTTGTCACGAGGCTTTCAGAAAGCATAGGCTCTTACAATAGCATGGAGAGAACTCTTTAGTTTCATAAACATATATGTATTATTGTATTTTGTTGTAATAATATAGAAATACACACAGTCCATCAAATTGTCATTCTTGATTTGTTAAATAGTGTAAAGCAGCTTTGTAGTTTGTGTTCTAGCCAATTAATTACTACTTGAACATCTTTACATTGTAATGTAGTGTAGTTTATTGAGAATTATAATACTTGAATATCAGCGTACAAATGAAATTATGAGTTAATACTTATTTTATTTTTTATTTTTTATGATAGTGAAGGAACTCGCAACAAATTATCTAAGTACATTGAGTAACCCTATCTCTCGTACATGTTATGAGTTAACTTGCTAGTAGGGATGACAATTTGACCCTCCCCGATGGATCCTCTCCTCGTCTCAAAATTTATGGGTATTACCTGCCCTGAAAAACTATGGGGCGGGGGGTGAGGATTGAATTTTATTTTTTTGACGTGTACGGGGATGGGGATGGGGATGGATTTGTAGGTACCCGACCCGTATGATATTATTTATATATATTTATTATTTATTATATTAAAATATAAATAATAAAATATTTATATATTACAAACCCTAAATAATTTATTGAATTTTTAATTTGAAGTTAAATTTATACTTTGTTGGTATGTTAACTTAGCTCGAAGCTCATAGTCATGGCATAATGAAAAGAACAATACTTAACAAGAAGCTAATGTCATAAGGAGAAAAAAAATATTTTGCTTAAAGTTAATGCTATATATAAGGAAAGTAAGAATGCTTAACGTGGATCTAATTCCATAAGAAGAGAAAAAAATACTTCGCTCGAACCGAATGCCTAAGCAGAGGAAAAATTCTTAGCTAGAAGTTAATGCCATAAATTTAAATTATAGATAGATTGTATTATTATTTAAAAATAATTCGAGGATTCCGCGAATACCTATGAAAATTTTACGGGGCGGGTATGGGGTAACCAACTCATAAAATCCAAGGATTTTTATAGGGATGGGGATTTTGAGAGCGGGGCGGAGATAGGTATTGCGAAATCCGCCCCAAACCCTCCCATTATCATCCCTACTTGCTAGTTGCTATTTTGAAATTTCAGTGTATCGCCATCATTTATAGGGACTTGTTTTTTACGTTTAAAAATTGCTATTTACCGTTCAAAGCACTAAATTGAACGCCCAAACCGGGCGGCTACACCTTAATTGAACGCTCAAGTCAGGCACCCAGGGCGTGTACGAACGCCCGGAACGGGCGTTCATACTCGCCATGGACGCCCGACTTGAGCGTTCTACCATGTATGTGAAAGCCCTACAAATCGATTTGTAGGGCTTTTTAACATGAAATTGGTTCCGTAATCGACCTACTCAATGCATATTACACATAAAGTAGTCGAAATTACCTCAAAAAATCGAAGCCCAATCTTTTTTCAAGCTTAATTTCGAATTTTCGATTTTTTTTTTTTGCTATTTGCAGTTTGGGGGGTTTTGGGTTTTTTTGGAAGGTTTTGGGGTTTTAGAGAAATAAATATTTTTTTTGTTATGAGCGGTAAATAGCAATTTTCAAACCGTAAAAAGCATTTCAATATATATATATATAGGGTTCTTGTAGATGCTTACCATTGCTCAAATAAACCCATTGGGTCAAATAGAAAATTTTCGCCGAACTTAGGATTTAATTGATTAAAGCTAAATATTTTGAGAGGTTTTATAAATGCATAAATATGAATAAAATAAATGATAATAAAATATGTATTAATTATTGAATTATTGATCAATTGTATGAATGATCATATAATCTATATATTTACACAACAAGATATAAACAGCAAAACTTATAAATTAGTTTTTTCTATTGCGCAAGTTATTTTCTTATTTAATAATAATGATTGTGATGCGGTCAATAATAAGCTAACTCGAATCACCTCAAATTGATTCTCGATCTGTAATAAATTTTCAAGAATTGGGTTGATCTTGTGATAAAAACACAAGTTCCAGCGAAAACCCTATGATACTTAAGTCAGCCCAACTTCAAGGGAAGAATATGGAGAGAATGCAAAATAAAATATATCTGACATAAAATTGAAAATTAATTACATTTTTTAAATAAAATTGAACTATTTATATACTAGATCAATTAGTCGTGGCCCTGGAATGTTAACCGAGCTTTGACTTATGGGTGGATCCCGCACTTATAATTATAAGCTTTGGGCTTATCTATATAATATATAAAAGTTGAATTCCACACCTAATTGATTGACATTTGGCAATTTCAATTGGTGACATGTCCTTAATTTTATCCCAAGTGGCGAATTGATTGGTGGAAATAAATCATAAAAAAACATGTCATCATTTTCCAAAATTAAAGATAATTAAATATATTTAATTATTTTATTAATATATTTATATCCTACCATTTATAAAATGCTCTAAATATATCAACTTTGTTGGAAACTCTAAATAAATTTATTTTTTAATTTAATTTTATAATTAATTTAATTTAATTTAGTTAAATTTAATTTAAAATATTCCCTTATTATAATTGCATAATTGGTGGTATTACAGATATTTTGTATTTTAATTCATAAATTTGGAGTTATATTAACAAAATATTGTAGAATAAATTATTTGATATGGTACATTTTACATGAACATGACTAGAGAATATGTTTTTTTTAACTAATATAATATTATACATTGATATTATCTGTAAAAACAAAAAAGATAAATGTTTGAATCGACAATATTGCGAAAATCGACACTACGTGTTTCTACCATGTGTAGAGTAATGTACTCCCCATTATTTACCATATTAGAAATTATATTACATGAATTTCATGTTATTATTTAACCGGTTATTTTTTCTTCACCGAATATAGGTTTAATCAATTGATAAAAAAACGAATTGATTTTATATATTTCAAAATATAACAATGTTATTCTAAATCTTTGGTATTAAATTCCTTTATTCACTCTATTTCAAACCAAACATTAAGAATATCAAATCTTTTGGTTAAAATGTATAATGATCGTATATACTATATATTATATATATTTAGAATATCAACTAATTTTTATTTTTCCATTTTTTATTTATATGAGCATTTTATAGTGACTTTTGTTTACTTGAAATTTGATCTATTTTCAATAGCATCAGTCTTTATGTTAGTTTCTAACATATGGTCATACCTGTAAACAAGTTTAAGTTGTATATTAACAAGGATAACTTATAAAAACTACCTAAACTTAGGCTAAATTAAGAAAAACACCCCCACATATTTGTAATTAGCAAAATCCATTGATGTTTATTTCCGTCTCACATGGACTCCCTTATGGTATGAGTTTTCAAGGAATTTTTTTGTTACGCGGAATATTCCCCGAAAAATGTTGATTATACCCTGTACACGCGACATTTCTTTATGGTACTTTTTAAAGACAAAAATTACCCTCAGGGGACTTTATGCGAAATTTTTATTCTTCTTAAATAACACTTTTACAAATTTTTATTATGACCATGACCACCCCTGAGTGTAATTTTTGTATTTAAAAAGTACGATAAAAGAAATGACACGTCTGTAAGGGTAGAACCCATATTTTTTGGGATATTACATGTAATAAAAAAGATCCCGTATATTATCACACCATAAGGGGGTCGTGTAAGACATAAACAAACATCAAGTGGATTTTGGTAATCACCAATAACTGGGGGTGTTTTCTGTAATTTAGCCTAAGTTCAGGAGAATTTTCATAATTTATCTTATTAACAACGATTATTGTTCTTTTACGTCTTAACGTTTGCTTATACCCTTATAATATTTTAAATAATTTAATGTCAGTTTGATAATACAATTAAATATTAATTTCTAATATATTTAATATGCATTTTTTGATGCTTCAGCACATAAGTAATTTGATATAAAGGTTCGAGATTGAATATATTTTTTTTTTCTATAAAAAGTAATAGATCATTGCCCAAAAAAAAATATTGATGCAAAATTAAAATTTGTGATTAATATTAGCATTAGAATTAGAATTATAATTAATATTTTTTGAATTAGTATTAGTATTAATACTAGAAATAGGATTCGGATTGTAATTAGGATTAACATAATATTATAATTAATATTGGATTATGACTAATTTTAGTATTAGAATTATAATAAGACTATGATTATGCATAGTACGATAATTAGTGACATATATTAGTATTAGGATTATGGTTAACATTAGGATTGTGATTAGAATTATAATTAAGATTAGAATTGGAATTAACACTAGCATTAACATTTGCATTATTAGTATTAAAATTATTAGGCTTATGATTAGTGTTGGGAATAGGATTATGATTATGATTGGGATTAGAATTATGATTAGTGTTATGAATAGGATTAAGAATAGGATAAGGATTTGAATAATATTAGAATTACAATTATAATTAGCATTAGCATAATAATTAGCATATCTGGATTAGAATTAGCATTAAACTTAGTATTAACATTAACATTAACAATATTAACATATTAGTATTAGTAATAGTATTAATAATAGTATTAGTACCAATATTAGATATTAGATATTAATATTAGTATTAGTATTAGTATTAGTATTAGTATTAGTATTAGTATTAGTATTAGTATTAGTATTAGTATTAGTATTAGTATTAGTATTATTATTAGTATTAGTATTAGTATTAGTATTACATTTAGTAATAGTATTAGTATTAATACAAATATTAGTATTAATATCAGTATAAGTATCCATAGCAACATTAGTATCGGTATCAGTATCATTAATAATAGTATTAGTACCAATATTAGATATTAGATATTAATATTAGTATTAGTATTACATTTAGTAATAGTATTAGTATTAATACAAATATTAGTATTAATATCAGTATAAGTATCCATAGCAACATTAGTATCGGTATCAGTATCAGTACCAATATCAGTATCAATATCAGTATCAATATCAGTATCAGTATTAGTATCGGTCTCAGTATCAATATCAATATCAGTATATGTATCATTCATTAGCATTAATACATTAGCATTAAAATTAGTTTTAACATTAATATTAGTATTATTAATAGTATTAGTAATGTTATTAGTATCGGTATTAGTATTAATATTACTATTAGTAATAATATTAGTATTAGTACTAATATTAGTATTAATATCAATATAAGTATCCGTATCAATATAAGTATCAGTACCAGTATCAATTTAAGTATCAATGTTGGTATCAGTTTGAGTATCAGTATCAGTATGATTATCAATTTCAGTATCAATTTCAGTATAAGTATCAGTATTAGTATCAATATTATTAGTATTAATATTAATATCAACATCAATATCAGTACCAGTATCAATATTAGTATCAGTATCAATATGAGTATTAACATGATTGTGAGTATCAATATTAGTATGAGTATGAATATTAGTATTAGTATTTATATTAATATTACTATGAGTATCAATAAACATCAATATCAATATCAATATCAATATCAATATCAGTGTCAGTATCAATATTAGTATCAGTATCAATATCAGTGTCAGTGTCAGTATCAGTATCAGTATCAGTATCAGTATCAATATCAGTATCAGTATCAGTATCATTATCAATATCAATATCAGTATCAGTATCAGTATCAGTATCAGTATCAGTATCAGTATCAATATCAGTAAGTATCAGTATGAGTATTAGTATTAGTATTAGTATTGATATTGGTATTGGTATTGGTATTGGTATTGGTATTGGTATTGGTAATGGTAATGGTATTGGTATTGGTATTGGTATTGGTATTGGTATTGGTATTAATATTAGTATTAGTATTAGTATTAGTTTTAGTATTAGTATTAGTATTAGTACTATTAGTATTAGTATTTGTATTAGTATTAGTACTATTAGTATTAGTATTAGTATTAGTATTAGTATTAGTATTAGTATTAGTATTGTATTAGTATTAGGATTAGTAGTAGTATCAGTATAAGTACGTATTAGTGCGAGTATCAGTATTAATATTAATATTAGTATCAGTATTAATATTAATATTAGTATTAGTATTAATATTAGTATTTGTAGTAGTATTAGTATTAGTAATAATATTAGAATTAGTATTAGTATACATATTAGTATTAGTATTAATATTAATATTAGTATTATTATAAGTATTAATATCAGTATTAGTATTAGTACAGTATTAGTATTAGAGTATCAATATTAGTATCAGTGTTGATATCAGTATTGGTAGTGGCGTATACATTGTATCTCTTTTGCAACATTTATAAGTTGTGTTGTTGTTTGAGTAATGTGCATCACTAATTAAATGTTATCAGTGATAAACTTGCAGGTTATTTGAATATCTATTGTGTTACCTCTGGACTACAATGTATGTTGCTAAGTTAGTTATTTTGCATAAGATTCACATGGTGTAGTAATTGTATTCCATGAAATAGAGTTAAGCCATATGTTTTAAATGATTTCACATAATCTTCATATCGTGTTTTGCGCGCTTCACGTATTATTCTTTGGAATATTTAAATGAATTTCATATGTTTCAACACTGAATTAAGAGATAATTTTTTTTTATTTACTTCCATTTTATTTTACTTGAATTTGTGTTGTTATAAAGAGCTAATCGTTTAAATATTATTATTTTTCTCATTTTGAAACTGACATCCGTGCAACGCACGGGTGAAATACTAGTTAACCCTAAATCTGAAGTCCATGTACATGGGATTGAAATAATTTTATAATTTTTTTTCTTTTGCATATATTTTTGGAAAATTACTAAAAAAACTCTAATTAAAAAAAATCTTTATTTAAAAAATCCATGAAAAATTCTCCAGTCTAAGTCTATTTTTGGGAAAAAAAGCCACGGATACTCGCAATACTAGTTCTATTAAGTGCAAGACTAAAATAAAAGAATAATGTACAAATACTATAATACTCATACTTGCTAAAAAGTAAATAAAAAATCAAATCGATGCAATACCATAAACTAAACAATCATAAAAATTTAATCACAAAATCATAAGCCCAAATTTTCATCTTCTCCATCTTCGGAAACCCACAAAAACTTTCCTCCTTCCTCTTCCATAAACCCACAAAACCTTAACATTCAAAACCCTCAAAAGTAACCAAACCTTACAAATAGGGCAAATATGGAGTCAAAAGACATCAAAATGGAAGGTGGAAGAACCGAAGGATGTATGCATTTATGTGTTTTACTAGCTAGGTTATTGATTTTGAAAAAAATTCCGCGCAAGAGCGATTCGACATTTACATGTCGAATTTGCCCCCAAAACTAGACATTAAGATGTCGAATTTTTCCCCCAATTTTGATATTTTAATTATCGATCTTTTTGTTGTTGTGGAACTTCAATATTGATGAAACGTCTTATTTCATTTTGTATAATTCGCTTAAATTATTTCTTATAACCTAATTTAAATGGTAAATGGATACCCGTGGGTAATCGAATATTAGTGGTAATGGTTATGATATTTCAATTAAATTTTTAAATATGCTTGGTATGGTTGTGGTTTAAGATATATTAAATGGTAATTATTCTGGTATTTCAGTTTTTTCAGGGTACTCGCTCCACTACCATCCATAAGCCCAAAGTACGTTAAAATAATTATAATTTATTATTTTCATACAAGTAGAAATCTCTTGTAGTTAAACTACGCTAGACGTCGACATTGAGTGAAAACATTAGAAGGCCTCGATTTATCTGACTAGTCTTTGCCGCTCTATCAAACCTTGAATATAATTATTTGTTGTTTGGTTTTGAAGGTGGATGACATTATGAAGTTTGTTCAATATTGCATTTGATGGCGGCGATGACGAATCTAATGTCTTTGTGGTGGTGTAAGCACACAAATTTCAACTTATTAATGTATTTACGGTTCGTGTCCGACACTCGAGGACACCTGGCGGACACATTGGAAGTTATTTTGTAATTTTTGAAAAACCTTAGAAACATGCTTGATCAGCAAATTTCCAAATATTTTTGTTGTTTCCCTAATTATTTACTGATTTAATGATCAATTGCAAATTAATAGTTGATAGTAATATTTATTTTGAATATACTATTTGTACGGAAATATATAAATAAAAACATATATGTTTATATAACACAATTATAAATATACCCTTATACTTATAATAATTAGACGTTCCCCCTAAATTTCCAAATCCCCATTTTTAGGATATGCCGTTTCCCTGTTTTTTCTGTATCGTCTTTTCCGTGTACGTGCTAAATAGATGGTGGTGTATTTGCAAAATGTCGAAATTAATTTTTTGCAGATTGTTTTGATTAATAATATTAATTATGTTTAATAAAGAGTATTTTAATTTATTATATAGCTATTTTAACGGAATTAATTGAGAGATGAGACTTTTGGAATTTGAACATTTTAATTGATGATGTGGCCTGGTCTCATTGGTGGTGATGCGTGGCAGATAAATTCGGGTTTAACTTATTTCTCAACAAATTCTACTAAATCTTAAAACGAAAAATAATACACAAATTTCCAAATGGATAATAAATTCGGATTTAACTTCTGTGTGAAGCAACGCGTACGTGGATGGAGAAATAACAATTTTGTTAAGATATAAGTCAATTACTTAATAACTAAGACATAAATCATTTATTCAAATTTAAACCTATTCATAACAATTTATTATCGATTATAAATAAAATATAAAATATATGTCGAAGAAATTTCCGTGGGTCAATTAAATAATTAAAAAATAGAGAGGAATTTCCTGGAAGTTACGAACCCCTTCCATTTCAATTATATATACACATCCATTTAGTTTGTAACCAACAGTTATTGAGATCAAATCAAAGCAAGGACGAACGCTTCCAATGGATACTTTCACATCTTTCTTCGATTCCCAATCCTCTTTCGGAAATCGCTGGAATTATGATTCACTCAAGAATTTGCATCAGATTTCTCCCGCTGTTCAATCACATCTCAAACAGGTTTTTTTTTCTCCTTCTTCTCTGATTATTTCTGTTTATCTCTTTCTTCCGAATTTCTGTTCGAGGATTTATCGATTTTTGTGAATTTCCGAAATCGGAAGAAAATTGATTGAAACTTGGTTTGAATTTGCTTTCCGAGTTGTGGCTGTTGAATTAGGTTATCTACTATTAGGTTTTAACTTGGCTATGTGTTTCATGACTCGAAAATTCATTCTATTTTGATTTAACCAGATACGGCGATTGCGTGATAAATATCTTGTGAATCTTTTGGTGGTCCCCGTGGAGATGTTTGTATTTTTTCCTATAATTTGGAGATGTTAATCGAGTACCACTATTACTGGATTTTGCTTGAAAAAATAAATCTCTGAGCGTTTATTACCATTTTTATGCAAATTGTGGTTTCTGAATTCTATCGATTCTACTTTTCACTAAATTTATGTGGTTTGATATTCCTTGTTTTTTTGTTCGATTTGTTTTGTGGTAGTAGAAATTAATCGCTGTTGACGAACTATGACCTAATTGTTTTTGGTGAGAGAATTATGACCTTAGTTTCAGTTTAGTAAGAGAAATATTCACCGCGTCTTGTTTTCAGGTCTATCTCTCGCTATGTTGCGCACTGGTTGCATCAGCAGTTGGAGTTTATCTTCATATTCTCTGGAATATAGGTGGATTACTCACAACGTTTGGATGCATCGGCCTTATGACTTGGCTACTTTTTACACCTGCTTATCAAGAGGTATTTCTTTTATTGCAACTATTTCGTTACCTTGTATTATTCTTCGGAGCAACCTGTTATCTTGTCTGAAACTCTTTTATCCTTACTGTTTTTGGTAATCGACAGCAAAAGAAGGTATCACTTCTTATGGCTGTAGCACTTCTTCAAGGAGCAACCATCGGTCCTTTGATTGAACTGGCCATCGAAATCGACTCGAGGTATAGCCTTATAGATCCTTCAACTTCTTGTTTTGTGGAGTCCTATGAATTCCTCTGTTTGCTGCTGTTTCTTTATGTATGTTATGGTGTGTAGTGCATACTTTTGGAACTTTCACCCCTTCTGTATGCCTTGTTCGTACTCTGTATCTGAACTTCAGAACATCCAATCTCTCAATACACATTGTATGGTGTTCGATGAACTTAGAGAAAAAAATCCTTAGAACAGCATTTACGAGTATGAGTGTTATTAATTACATTACATACTTCATCATGTTGAATGCCTAAAGTAATGGATAATCTGAAGTATTTTCTCATATGAATATAAAGGCACAGTCCAAATAGTTGAAATGTTTATTCTTTCAGGAATTTGGTTTTCGGTTGTGAGAATGTGAATTAGTTGTTACTTTTTCGCATGTCGTGTGTGGTTCCCATATTTAACCTTCAATATTTTTTCAACATATTCAGTAAGATTTAAGTATTTAGTGGTAGTGATATTTATATGGGCGGTTTCTTATGTGTTTTTCCTTTTTAAATTCTGGATAATGATTTGGTATTAGCTCTCATGTATTTTTTTTAATTAATTTTTTTTTCTGTTGTAGCATTCTGGTGAGTGCTTTTGTAGGTTGTGCTCTGGCATTTGGATGTTTCTCAGCTGCTGCCATGTTAGCTAGGCGTAGAGAGTACTTGTACCTCGGGGGTCTGGTTTCTTCTGGTTTGTCCATCCTTTTCTGGCTGCAGATTGCCTCTTCCATTTTTGGTGGTTCAACGGCCCTTTTCAAATTTGAGGTATTAAACTCGGTTATGTCCAGTTCGATAATTGACGTAAAACAGAAACTATGGATGTATTTTTATTTACTTAATCGTATTTACTTTTGCAGCTGTATTTTGGGCTGTTGGTGTTTGTGGGGTACATAGTTTTTGATACCCAGGATATTATTGAGAAGGCACACTTAGGTGATGTTGACTATGTCAACCATGCTCTTACGCTGTTCACTGATTTTGTTGGTGTGTTTGTCCGAGTTCTCATCATAATGGTGAGTCGAATTAATTTCCCTTTTAATATGTTTAGAATGTGTTTTCTCTCAGTTTCCTGTTGTCATTTGCTTATTGTGAACTCTGAAAATACATTGCAGTTGAAGAATGCATCTGACAAGGAAGAGAAGAAGAAGAAGAAGAGAAACTGATGGTTCTGGTTTTTGATGATTGAAGACTTTGGGAACCAACTCTTGTCCATAGTCTTGTTCTCTTGGCCCTTCTCTGTTTGTTTTTTTAGAACTTGAATTAGGTTACGACTTTTGCACGATGATATAACTGTGTTTTCCGTACATATGATAACCGTGTTTTCAGTACATGTGGTAACTGCGTTTTCCGTATACGCGGCAACTGCGTTTTCCAAATATGCCTCTTGGAATTGACTTATAATACAATGTTTGCAATATGTGAAGTTCTCTCTGTCTCTCTGTCTCTCTGTCTCTCTGTCTCTCTCTCTCTCTCTCTCTCTCTCTCTCTCTCTCTCTATATATATATATATATATATATATATCTATATATATATATATATATATATATATATATATATATATATATATATATATATGTTCCTTCCTTTTTTCCTTCTCTGGTAATGTTTCTCTATACATATGTTCTCATGGAGCTGCTAACTCTACTTGGTCGATTTGTAGAAATTATTTACATTTTAGTAGAGTAGTCTTCTATTGAAATATGAAGTTTTTACTTGGCAGTTCTAGTAAAAATGGTTTTGTGGACGAATAGTTTGGGAAACATTTTATTTTGAAACTGTTGTGTACCGAATAATGAACGGTTTTTCCCCCTTGTGAGCATGCACCTGTACATATACAATCAGTCGAACGTGGATTATAAATGAGTGGCCTGTGACTTTTTGGAGTTCATTCGGTACAAATGCATTCCGATGTTTTTTTGATCCAAAGAATATTTTTTGATGCAATGCCTGGACTATGTCATCTTGTTTCACCAACCATAGTCACTAAGAGTGTTTAGCGATCAGTTGTTGTATATAATTAGTAACAGGTAAAATGTAGGTGAGACAGATTGAATCATATTTGACCAGAAAATGGATTTCCACATTTTCAAATTGTTGATTTTTGTGGGGGTAGTCACATGTAAAAACCAGGGTTGTTCATCGAACAACCAACTCGTTTTCTACCCATACTTTTTATTGGGTAATAAACAATCAATCAACTAATTCAAGTCGGGTCAATAACGTCAACCAGCCCATGAATAGTTGGGTCCATATTAGCTGATAGTACGAGCAAAAGTTGATCGGTCGGTAATATCAGCAAACTAACTTTATTTATTTACTATTAAATTGATTTGAGGGGTTTAGTACTTCTTTTTTAGTTTCAAAGCCTCTACTTGTATGATGTATCTATATTTACCAAAGTCGGTTAATTTGGATCTGGTTCGTTTAGCTTCCGGTAATCAACCATGACAACCATAGTAAAACCATCAAGAATCCACTTATTTCATTATTTGGGAGAAATGAGTTAAAAAGATTTCTCTCTGTGTTCCTATTAGAAGTTTTAAGCTTCAGATGAGATTCAATGTGTACAGTTATATGCAACTTCTGTTACTTCTTTTTTTTTTTTTTTTTTTTTTTTTTTTGAGGCGAAAATTCAGAGATTTGATACGGCTAAACATACCAAGTTCAAAAGAAAGTTGAAACATTCGTTACCAAAGACATCATCAGATTTTACGACGGCTAGATCATTTCCAATCCGTTTGATTTAAGAAAGAGAACACATCTATCAAAAGTTTGATCATTGCAAAACCACAGTTACTTTGTAGTGATTTTTCTAAATAGATTTAAATGTTAACATTTGGTAATTTTTTAACAAAAGATCTTAGAAATTCAAAAAAATAAGATGTTGTAGAGCTTTGAAGATCTTTTTTACATGTATCACATTTTTATTTAAGATTTTATAATTAATAAAGACGTGCTATTTTCACCCTCCAAATATCTTATTTCACCACCTAATTCAATATATTTTTCATTTTACCCTTTTCTTCTTCCTTCTCCTATATTTTTTTTACAAATTTATAAATCGTCCACCACTAAATTAATTAAAATATTTATAAAAAAAAATCCACAATTTTCAATGGAATCTTTACCGCAGAATCTCACCCTCTCCACCTTAACTGAATAATGTTTTCGTCAAACAAAAAAAAATTCAATGTCAAAAAAGGCATGAATTTATGTTATTGAAGAAATAAATTAAGAGAGCGTATGGAAGGTCCCGAACTTCCTCTAGAATTGGCCAGTTTGACTTAATACAATTTTGTTTCCTAAAAAATAATTACATAATTTGTAGTTCATATGAAGTTTGTAATAAATATTTCATTGATTTGAAAAAAAATTAAAAAAATAGAAAAAATAAAAAAAATAGAAAAAGTAAAAAAATAAATAAAAAATAAAAAAATAAAATAAAATAGAAATAACATAGAACACACGAGGATTAAACAAACATAAAGAATAGTGGTGGATTATAAATTTGAGGGGTATTTATGTCATTTTATATATCTTTGATGCTGAATTGAGATACTTTGGAGGAGGAAATAGCACAACTCTTAATAAAAATAGCTTATAAACTCATTATCCAAACACATTAAAAATTAAGCGCTCGTTCGGTTACTGATATTGTCTTACATTGAATTAGATGAGATTTGATTAACTCCCCGCTGACTAATTAATTATTTTGTTAGTAAGATGTTCGGTTTCTTACATTAGATTTTCTATTAAATTTGTTAAAATCCGGTTATTATATATGAATTGTCTATAAAACCACTTAGCTAACAATAATAAGATGGGGTCTTTACAAATAAGCCCATTAATGGGTACTTATTCATAAAGAAATCCAGACAATAAACTCATTTATAAAAAAGTCCACACATGGTCTAGAGGTTTGTAAGAGACTATAATAGCCCCTCATACTTTAATATGCTCTAATTTCATCATTTAATTTAATCTAACCTCAATTCGACCCCAAATTTCACAAATTATTCAATTTTGACCCAAAACACATTTTTAGGGACAATTTCGCTCGTCACCGCCGTTGACTTTTTTTTTCCCTGATTTTTCCGCCGGTCTTCGGCGGCGTTGACTTTTTTTTTCCTTCCTGATTTTTCCGCCACCGGTTTCCGGCATTGACTTTTTCGATTTTTTTTTCTTTCTTTCTGTAACATCTTTTTTCCCTCATTTAAACAACAATATTCCTGTGATTGACAGTAATATTAACTATATTACTGTTAAACACAGTAAAATTAACTATACTACAATTTAACACAGTAATATTAACACAACAAAACTCATTATTATTGTGTAATAGAGTAATATTAATATGTTGACCGTTCAACAAATGTAAACATAATAAAAAGACAAAAGAATTAATATTACTGTGAGTCATTGTAATATTACTATAACAACAGTAATATTACAATAATAAACAGTAATATTATAACGTTACTCCGTGAATAACTCAAAGAAAACAAAAAAACCCAAACAAAATAATAATACTCATGTGGTTGACAGTAATATTATCGTCAACCACAGTAATATTATTGTGTTTACGATAATATTACAATAATAAACAGTAGTATTATTACGTTATTCCGTGAATGTCTCAAACAAAACAATAAAATCCAAAAAAAAATTATATTATTGTTGTGGTTGACAGTATTATTATTGTGTTTATGTTAAATAAAAAAACTAACAAAAAATAAATAATATTATGTTAATTTACTGTCAAAGGCAGTACAATTACATAAATGTATTGTTTACGACAGTACAATTACGTTAATGTATTGTCAGTGACGGCATAATTACGTTAATTTACTGTCAGTGACAATATAATTACCGTTAATGACAGCACAATTACGATCAACGTTTAACGACCGACGTAGAAAAAAAAGGTTAATCTTGTCAACCGAATGTTTTACTAGTGCCTATTATTTAGTTAGTAGAAAATAATAACAATAATTCTAAAAATAAAACACAAAAACTTATCAAATCTTAAAATAACTTATCAGAAATAAAAAGTTATCTGTTTAAAATAAATTTAGACAAACATGCTGAAATATGAAGTGATTTATTTTATACAAAATTAGTGAATGTAAGACAGCCCATTCAAATATTAAAAACAAAATTAAAAAATAAAAGAAAACCATAAAAGTGGGCCGGTGCAATTTGTAATTTCTTGAATTATCTAATTATTACCTCAATCATTACCTAATCAAATTGTTGTGACGGCTCTAATGAATATGTTTAGAGCTCGGACGGAGTTGGTTTTTATCCACCAACCGATCCATTATCGATCATATTTTTAGGTGGATAATAATTTCTTAATCGATCCATTGGATCGGGTCAAAAATTTCAACCAACGCATCTATAATGGGTCGATTGGTGGTTTTTAATATTATCAAAAGTTTGTTGACCGAAATCGGTCAACTAACTATATTATTAAAATTTTATTAAGAATTATAAAATAAAGGGTGTGTTTTCTTAATTACTTTGAATTTCTTAATTATATTTTTTGTCAAATTGCTATTAACTATTTTGAACTAATAAATAATGATCGGGCAGTGGCATTACGCATAATGTGCATATTGTTACTCCAAATTTTATTTTCTTAAGTGAACTAGGTGACGGATATAACCCATCAACCGACCCATTCCAAAACCAAAGATTCGGTTTCCAACCATTGTCGAAATCATGGTGTGATATTTGATGTACTCGTCCCAATCTTGATTTTTCAACACAACCTTCAAAGAAGAATTTCTGTTCACCATTGACAAGACTTTACGCAGATATTGTGATCAAAGGACGTGCTTAGAGGAATTTTGCATTTCTATATCCGTAGGCTATTCGGATCATATATCCGTTTCGTTTCTTGAAAGATGGATCCCAACACTTAAAAATATGGGTGTCAAGGACTTTCGTCTTTTTGTTTGTTCGAAAAATAGTGGGAAAAGGGAACTTGTTATAAAACTGCCAATTGTAGTCTTTGATGCAGAATCACTCCAAGATTTGCACGTGGAAGGATTCATGTTTGACCAACAAACTATTGGAAGGAATGTTGTCTCTAAGCATCTGAAAAAACTTCATCTCGAACGAGTCATCATTGATGACATGATTTTTAAGAAGATAATCGCAAGTTGTCCTTTGATTGAAACTATGATTCTCAAATCATGCAAGATGTTAGGAAACATTAACGCGAATAATCTTCACCATCTCAAGCACTTTACTTTTTCTTCATATTCCCGTGACGACGATTGTAGCATCGAAATCTATCCCGCATCTATTGAAACCATCCAATACTGAATATGGTATTCTTTTGTTTAAAAATGTGCAGATTTTCCTAATCTCAAAAATTTATTTCTAGACCATGTCATATTATCGTCGTTGGACCACTTTTCTTCATG